TTTTTTTTTTTTTTCAAATTTGCTACTTTCCATTCACGGAGCAGAGCTCCGGCAGGAAGTAAGCGCCCATGAATGCTTTCGGGAAAGGATCAAGAAACTTCATTGCTGAAGAACCCCCAATCACAGAAAACTCTTTGCSCCCTCAGGATTGCAGTTGGTGATGCACAGAGCAGGGGGGCAAGGAGAGCAGGATGTGTGGAAGAGTAGGGTGCACGGACAGCCCGTACTCCAATGAATAGAATATTCTGTATGGAGCCAGTTCCTGCAAATACTGAAATTCACCTCAGGAAAAAAAGATTAAAAAAAATCACGAAACAAATACCAATCGGCTTTGTCTCCATGGGGCAAAAGCACACGGCCTAGTTCCCAGTTCTCCCAGGTGGTACCCTCCAGCACGTGCTCTTTTGGACCTCAAGGATGATTGTAATCCAGCTCCTGAAATACCTCTTACACTGGTTTATCYGGGAAGAGGTGGACCCAAATCCCCTTATACAGTGAGAAGTGAAATTTAACTAAGTGGTTTTATAAGTGTAAAAGGTACATGTCTAGAACTTGGTGCTATACACTGATTTAGAGTAACTAAAAAAGCAAAAGATATAATACTGTACAAACGAAAATAATTCATATCAGAAAGAAGCTCATAATTACTTTATCTGGGCTCAGAGTGCAAACCAGCATATATGAAATCCTCTAGGTTAAATAAAAACTGATTTCAGAACTGATACCAGCAATTCCACATGCCCTTCCTATTTCTGAGAGGTTTAGAAGCAGCATCTGGAGGGCCAGTGAGGGGAAACTGGCRGAGGGCAGAAGGCAGACCCCTTGATTTCCCCCAGAGAAAAGAGGGAGCTGGTACCACTCACCTTCAAGGAAAAGGCATGTGAATGTTTGCAGGAGACTGTGCATACTTTACAAGGACTTAATTTATGCTCACAATATATTTTAGTTTAAATCACAGAAATTCCTCAACTTCTGAAGTCCATGATGTATCAGAAAAATATGCTGAAGTTAACAGCATAGCATTTAAATATGAAAGTTTCACAGATTCAAATACACAGATTAAATATTTCTTTTTAAAAGATGTGAAAAATCACATCACATCACAAGGTTCATATGTACACTGTCTCCCTTCACTTTTTTGTTTCATAGTATTCACACCTTTCCTTTCCTTTCCTTTCCTTTCCTTTCCTTTCCTTTCCTTTCCTTTCCTTTCCTTTCCTTTCCTTTCCTTTCCTTTCCTTTCCTTTCCTTT